ATTTTAAATAATTAAAAAAGTAGATCAGAGACATATTTATAGTAATTATGCAGGCAAATTTGTCTGCAAATCTCTACTAATTAAGGGATAGACAATAGATTTAGAATTGAGTTTTATAAAATTAAAATTTAACTCAAAAGTATACTAGATTGCTTTTATTCTTGTACATTATTGCACGGGTTTACAACTAGTTTAAATATAAATGAAAAATTAGTTTAAATATAGCTGATTCTTTAATTTTACTATAAAATTTTTTCAAAAATTTTTAAAAATTTTGAAATTTTTATATATATTTAAAAAGAAAAAAATAGTTAAAATTTTAATTATAAAATTATAAAAACTTTTATAATAAAAGTTGTTTATAATCGAAAATTATATATCGCACTACTAGTATTAAATACCACTATATTTATTTATATAATAAAAATAAATTACATCATTGATTTATTGTTTGTGCATAAATTATAAAACAAATATGTAATTATGATATAATTGAGCCAGATCGCTTAAATACTAATATTCAAAAAAAAATCTCTCTTACTATTTTATATTACAACCCAGACCCAGAAAAATTTATGATAAGCGATAACACTATTATTACTAGCATGGAGTCTCTCTTGTTTCTTTCGTTACTTGATGTTGAAGATAATAGTATAGAACTTCCTTTATTATTTTGGTTATTTAATACAAAAAACAGTAGCAGTAACATGGATATTAGCTTTCAAAATATCTGTGAAATAGAAGGTGATTTGAATATATATGAAATTACTGCACTAGTTCAAGAAGACTTATTTAAAGATAATAAAGACCCAGAACTACCTTATTTTAATATGCTGCCAAAGAATGATATTGACCAGTTAGTTGTATATGAAACTTTACAAATAACTAATATAAGAGAGTTATTATTTCCCAATGAATTATCAGAAAGCATTAATAAGAGCGATGGTGAATATAAAAATAATTAGAAGTCAGAGCCACTATATTTAGTTGCCCAGAGGATGGAATTTAAGACTTGAAAGAAACTTGACGAGTAACTAAAAAATTCATAAAAATTATCAGTTACTTGTATTAATATGCTTGATACTAACATTTTTTTTTTTTTTTTTTTGAGTTGGCTAAACAATCATGGGTTAGAATACGGTTTCGTGTTTACAATTACACATAGTGAAAAGGATAAAGAAGATGAATTACCTTATCGCCGCATCTATATGTATATAAAAGGCAGAGTTTATATTTCATAAAAGGATGCATATATAATTAAGAATCGTAATAAAAGATATCACATGAGAAATTGCAAATTTCATATAAATATATATTGCCAGAAGACAGATAATTTAGTTTACATTATGAAAATTAGTGATCAACATAATCACGAACTTGTTGAAAATATTAAAATAGTTGCTTCCCACTATTGAAAACTTTCTCCTGAAATGTGTAATGAAGTGAGGTTTCTTGTATCCTTTGGAGTATATTCTAGTGTTATTATTGAGGTTCTACAATGCAAGAATCTAGAAAAATATATTCATTCTCATAATATATATAATCTTGTTCAGACAATTCGATGCGAGAAAAGAGTCACTAGCAATGCTGATTCGATATATCTTGAACTTCTAAAGCAAAAGCAAGACAGTCCAACATTTCATATAAATGCACGTTTTGAAGGTACAGACAATTATTTTGTAGGTCTATGTTGGATGAGGCCAAGCCAACAACAGTTGTAGGCTCATTTTCAGGATATAATGTTGCTTGATACAACAGCAAAAACAAATAAATATTCTATAATTTTGTGCGTAGTTATTCTAATTGACAATAATGAGGTTTGCTAAATCTCACCGCTGGTAATTTCACCACAAATCATATGATAATTTATATACTATATTACACAATTCACATACCAATATAGATGTTATACAAACCAAGTCATAATACGATTTAAACTTGTATGTATAAACATACGTAAAGTTTAAAGTACTTTTATGCTATTTTACACTAGTATTTATTTTTAAATTATAACCAGTTGTTTATAGTTCTATAAAACTCAATGAACAAACTTTAAACACCTTAGAATTTATCTAAACTAGGTATACTTCACTAAGCAATAATCTAGAAGAATCATAATATATAATAAGTAAAGCATTCCTAATTAACTCTTAGAAAGTGTAGCTACCTGGCCTTGAAAAAAGAAGTTTGAAAGTAATAATAACTTTCTAATCATATTAAAATAAGTTACAAATACTTAAAAGCTTAGGGAAAAAATACTTGGTAAGTAAT